GTCAGTAGTTCCTCCTATATATTCTGTTGGTGATGACTGATCCCTCTTCTTCTTGCAGATGGAAACTTCGTAAGGCGTTTTACTCAAAAGAAAGTTCAAGAACAGGGGAATGCCTTGAGATACTTCAAGATATCTTCTGCCCCCTGTGGACATGTCTGTTAAAAAACCAAAGACAGAGGTCCAAACAGCACACAGACCAACAGATGGACATCCGTAGCGATGATGAAGAGAGTTGTAATAATGAGCCACCAGAGACGAGACCCTTGAACCTTTCCGACCTCCGTGGCACGGAACCTGAGTTAATATCAAGCACGACCGTCCACAACTGGGACAAAAATGCTAGGTCTGACATAGATTATGATATACTGACAATGTCACCCACGGCAATTGAGCGCTTACACCGAGATCCATCGAATGTCAATCAGTTTGAAAGTAAGTTGGATCCTCGAGATGTGGAGTTAGCTGACGCCATGGCCACATCTGCGGCAGCAATCTCAGGATATGACGATTCTTTGCAAGTGATGCGTCTTTCCACGATTTTTGGATTTGAAATGGGGGCTTCGATGTTCGGCGACATGAAGGCGGTTAAAGAAGAGTCCTGTATCATGAAGGTAAGAATTTTTTTCGGGATACCTGACGCTAGAGGCCTGGAAATAAAGCAATTTTGAGTGTCAAAAATAATCTGTGGTTTCTTTGGTTTTACCTTACTTTGCCATGTAACTGGTTTGAAAAACCCGTGCCATCCTCGCTCTGGACCAATCAGAGTTAAATACTGAAAGCAAACGCGGCTTGGTCACTTTTGTTTTCCCGCACTTTAAGCATGTTTTCTTTCCTCCGATTGGCTTTCGTGGCTATTTTGGTCCTGATTTTACGGCACTCAATCGAAAAGCACTCAAACTTGAGAATAATTGTTGTTGGAATAAAATCCAAATGGAGATTCAGTGTCATAGATTGATTCTCTGTTGGGACATATGAAATCAATTTGCTACACTCACTACGCTCCAGGTAAGTGTATTTCTTTTCAATGGTGATTCATTAACGCGATCAAAATGATTAGATAACCAAATAATGCAGTGCAATTTCTTGCCGTTTATCTCTTTTTAACAGCCTCTGCCACTTCTTATAAACATTCTCCGGGGGCTACCGTTGATCGTTGTGCCAGCGGTCTATTTCACTGTCGGCGGTGAAAGGTTAATTGAAGTTGGAGTAATTGTATTCTTCGTAATTCACCTGATTCTGGCCTTCATCGGAGCTTTCGCAGACACAGGAGCTGAGAGACCAAACTTATGGGAGAAGATAGCCAGGTCAGCATCATGTAAATTAGTGCATATATCTTTGTCTGGATGTCTTAATAATGGCAATTGAACTGAGTGGAGTGAGTGGTAATCACATGATTTCGAGTGCAATTTAAAATAAATAAGCACGAGTAAATTTTTTCAAAGACTAACAAAAAATTTGTGGTCTTGCACGAAGAAAAATCATGTGATTACGTATTAATAATATACATGAAAAAAAACGAGATAGCTTATCGTAATTATGCAGAAGCAAAGTGCGCGCATCAAGTGCAAAAATAATTTACTCAAACCCCGCAAGTAACTATATGCGTTCGGTCAAAACAACCGCGTACGATCAAAACAATAATATACAATAATGATATTTTCAAATATTTAAGGCGCAAAAAAGTTGAAAGTCCGGCCAAACAGTTCAAGGAATTGTTCAGTCTGTGTCCGTATCACTTTCGAGGAAATGGAGTCGTCGTTTGCGAGGTTTAACCATGTTTGTTTGCTTTTTTTTTCTTATTTCGGCGTAGAATCGCTCGAGTAAAGTGATAAGCTGCGTCGGCTCGCAATTTTCGATTTCCTTGGGAATTTCCTCCTCTAAACACCACTAATTCCAAACCGTCAACCAAAAAAAGCGGTGCTTTTTACAGTGTTTTCGTTGTTAGAGCGGTTTTTTAGCTGCTGTATTGTTATTGAGGTGGCGAAAGAAAACGTACTTAAAACGCCGGCCATTGTTTCGTTCGCAAATTTTCAGCGTATCTAAATGTTGAAATGTTGAGGCATCCAAGCCTCGCACTCGATTGGCTATCTGTGAGTTTCTTTGATTATTAACCAATCAGAATGTCTGGTTTGTTACTTTCTTTGCACTGAATTAACCCTCTTCTGCACTGAATTACCTCAAAACTACACTTATCTTAAACAATCAGAACTGAGTAATTTTTTCATGTATCTTATTAGGTCTGAAATCATACGAGTGATTTCCAAATCGAACGAACGCACGGCATAAGTTTGATTTGAAATTATATGTATGATTTCGGACAAAAATTACGCAATACAAAGTTTTACTTCATATTAAAAAGTTAAAAAAGCCGTCTTTCATTCTGCTGCAATTTTATCGATTACTTTAAAAAAGCCTTGAACCTGACTGGTTATTTTATTTTAGTAAAGTTTCTCTTCCTCTTGGTAAAAAGATGCGATTTAGGTGAACAAGACGCATGTAGTTCTAGCTTAACTAGTTCTAGCTTAACTTGTTACTTTCATAAAAGATGGTGCGAATTTTCCGGGCCAATAACGAATGATGGGGAAGAAAAATGTTTTGCCCGGATTGCCATGGCCTTTCTTAAAGTAAAACAACAAAACCTAAAAGTCCTGAAAGCAGGGTTGTTCAAAGCACGACTAAGCTAACCGAGGATTAACCAACAGTTTTTCATTTAGTTTTGTTGCTTTGATGACAGTTTTTAGTGAATAAATTTTTCCTTCAGTTTTTTCTTGGAATAAGGTGAAACCGCTCAAAACGTGAAGCCTAATAAATACGCTATCAAGGACACGTTAAACTTTTAATCCTAGATTATCGCTAGCCGCATCTCGAACAACTGTGCCACTGTTGAACCGAACCATTGATTCCAAGGTAAAGTCATATAAAACATTGTCTTCGTCATCCTTTCGATCCCAAGATTTAAAAGTTACATCTCAGTAGATGACTATACCGACCCAACTCTATTCCAAGGAATTTGGTGTCTGGCACTATAGATAATTTTCTTAAGTTCTCGTCACTCTCTGCCCAGGGGCGAAGTCATCAGGATTTTTCGAAGGGGGCTCACACTGTGTCAGCAGAGGGTTCTCACCAGGGTGTCTTGTCGACCCCCGCGCCGGCATGGGAACCACAGCCCCCCTCCCCCTTTTCCACGCCCTTGCTGCCTGATAATACATTGAAATTGTCCCATGCCAAAAGGCAAAGGTTCGCTGATGACATCACCCACAGTTTGAAAAACACACCTTGTAACCCAGATCGACGTTCCTGATCTATTGCGTCTTTTTTCTAAGGTGGTTTATTGTACACGTGTCTTTCGTGGAGTTTGTCAGAGAAACCCTTTCCATTGAGAACATCGGACCCATGCCCCCTCCTGTGATGCTACTCAGCGACGGAGGCCACATGGAAAATACCG